GGGCCTGCAAGTTTTCTTTCAAAATTCTATTTGAAATATGAGTATATCAGATGCATCTCCTATTATACAAAAATTCAAGTTTTGGTTTTGAAATATGAGTATATGTTATCTCCTATTTGGTGTTATATCAGATGCTTGTCTATTTTAATCTTGTTTATCAGATGCTTGAAGTAAGGTGTAAAGTCCATAAGTAGACATTAACACGTCTTCAATGACACAAGTGTAGACATTAAACTCCTACGACTATAAGTACAAAAATTAGTACAAAAGTATAGAGCAAATATGCAAATTTATAGATTCAACTACATAAATAATGCTCAAATATATTTAGCAAGATTAGTAGTATTTGACATCACATGATATGAACATAAAGTTTTTAAACATGAAAATGTAGTCTTGTTTAGTCGTATTTGTAAAGTTCTTTCTAATTATGACTATACGCAATCTTCCTTTTTGTATTCTTATTCAGTCGTATTAAATACAAGATTTAATACAAAATTGTAATAAAGACCACATGAATATCAACATAGAGTTCTTAAAGGTGAAAACCTAAAACGGTTGTGAAACCAATTGTTACGGATGCATATTAAGCCGAAGATTTTAGTGAAACTTGAAGAAACATGTTTAGAATATTAAGTTGGAAGAAGTGAGATACTTAGTGCAATTTGAAATAGATAGTGTATATCAACAAGTGAGATAGTCATTAATAAGACAATAAGAAGACAGTAAGAAGACATTAATTTTGTCTTTAGTTGAAAGAATACACTTCTTTTTACAACTACATGCAAAAGTTTATAATAAAGTAATAATGGAGTTTGATAATCTGGTTAAATAAACTCTAGATACAAGACCCATGAAATAAATATGAGCATACTGTTGTTAAATGCGGACACAAAACTCAAAACATTTCTCGTAAATAACTATTACACATTTCGTGCATTAAATATGAGCATATTAATTAGAAATTTTAGTTGCACTCTTGCATGTAAGGCAAGAAAGGAAAGCGTGATAAGTAGATAAAGCCGGTATGTTAAGTGCGTTTTGGAGTAGGCAGTAAATATGTACAACACAGGCAGTCAGTAATTAGATAGTAAAAAGACAATAATTTCAAAGATGATGTGTGCTGGTTCTGAAACATATATTATTCAATAAACTTGAGTTTGAATGACAAAATAACATCATATCCAATGCCAAAAACCATGGCAACTAGTATAAAACTTCATTGTCAATAAACCATGGCAATTTAAAAATGCGGGGAAAAAACTAAAATCCTCACAACTCTCATTGGATGAAACGAAAGTGATATGACATTTCGTGTTTTAAGAACTACGGGCTGGAATAAGATCACTATAAGACTTCTTGTTGTGTCTTCCTTTTTACACCATGAACATTGTTTCCACTACCGAGAACAAAATTCTTCAGTTGAAGGTAAACGCTTCTTTTAGGCTAACGAGTTGGCGTTTGAGAACCAATAGGCTGCACAACAAGAAAGTGTAAGGGAAGTTTAGCTTATAAATGTACAATAAGTTTAAGCAACAATTGCTAAAAGTATATGTCATATTTTAAGTTGTAAATGCAACAACTTCAAGCCCATATAAAGGGTCCAAATGCAGAAATTTTTTACCTGTAAATGCAACTTGTTAAAGGGCATATTAAGCCTATACATAGACAACAAGTTTAAGCAACAATTGCAGCAACTTAAAGGCCATATTAAAGCTCCAAATGCAGCAACTTAAAACTCTAAACGCACCAACATATAGGTTTTCTTTGATGCTATAAATGCAGCAACTTCAAGCCCATATAAAGGGTCCAAATGCATAATTGTTTACCTATAAATGCAACTTGTCAAAGGACATATTAAGCAACATTGTAATCTGAGTAAAAATAGAGAAATCCATTCAAAAAAAATCATCACATAATACGTTCATGTGAATATGTAACCGTGTGATCATAAAATAGATCCATATATAAGGCATTTATGTCAGAATAAATCAATGAAAAAATAATAATAACACAAACAACAACAAAATAGTAATAAAAACTAAACTGAAATGTAAAGAACAAAAAACAGAACAACAAATAACCAAATTAAAATAAAAGGTATAAGAACAAAAAGAGAACAACTAAACAACATATTGAAGATCAAAAGCTATTGTTGCATAAGCATGTTGAAGTACGTACAACATACAAATTAAAAGTGATAAAAAGAAGAAGAAAATTCAAAGTGTTGTACATATAGTTTGAGAGAAATATAATATCATACTGCGAAGGAAACTTAATGACGGAATTCATAAACAAACTAAAACCGAAGATATCAAAGTACAAAAAAGTAATCAGAATGAAATTCGAAGACAACTTGGAAACTTACAACAGAAAAATCGCAGAAGGATTCGATCAACGAATTGTGATGAAGCTGAACAGGAATTTTGCAGAGAACATTCCGAAATTGATTCTGAGTTGGTTTGAACCAACAACATTATATCTTCTTCTTCTGTCAGTAAAACGTCATCCCAGAGGGTGGGAAATACTCCTGTTGCATACCCTGGGTAGAATTCGTGTTGTTTTAAAACAGATCAACCCAACTTTTTGGGGGGTTGCACTGATTTCTGGTTGAGGACTTTTGTCGAGCACTTTATTTACATCAATTGAACCCCCCCATTTCAGAAAGTTCTTGGACTATAACCATTGTATCTAGTTCAGTGTAAGACAATCAAAGAATTATATGAAGTAGGAAAAACAGAAATCAACATTGGAAACTAAAAACAGAGAAGAGAAATACTTTGAATCGCAATTTCAAGGTCAGGATGAGAATTCAAACTTGAAGATGAAAGAACTGATGCAGAATATATAAACGAAATACATTTATACATGATAACATCAAACAATAACAAATTTTTTAAACAAATGAGTAATAAATCTTACTGAAAAGTGCAGAGAATTTGCACAGCGTATGAAGCTTGATGAACAATTGAATGGCACTTCAGAATAATTCTTGGACCATGCAAGCACAATCGAAACTGGAGAAGTGATCACGGATGAATAAAACGACGAAGATCTTGAGCTCCGTTGATTACAAACACGCAGAGCGAAAGAAGAAGAAAAGGTCGTTCTAGATGAGTTCAGTCGTTGCCCAAGTATTCGCCTTTGATACACAGACTAAAGTGGAGGGTAAAATTGGCAACTAAAAATCAAGTTTTCTAAAACAGAACTAACTAAAACCTACGGATGGAAAAAAACTATCTAAGTCCTAAACTTGTAAACTTTGTATGATTTAGTCTTACTAACAACAATTTTCTCTTAATTTGACCCCAAGTTTAAAAAAGGAGAAGGCCGTCCAGTGTATATAACATAATAAATTTAGAAGAAGTATTTTTGGTTTACACATATTTTGTACTTATTTTATATATAATCTCAATTGTTTATCCATATACGTAATTCGTTCATAAGTTCAGTTGTTTGCCTATTTAAGTAATTCATTCAGAAATTACCTATGTGTATATCTCGCCATGTCGTCAGAAAATAAGTCTTAAAACACTTGAAGCCATCGTTTTATTAGTACAATTAGCCAATTAGACCATCTATAGTGGTGGAGTTTTAAGAGTCTAAAATGTCTAAAATGGAATTTTAGACTCCTAAATCTATACATTGGTGGTTGGAAAGAGGTTATATGGGGGCTTATAAATGAAAAGGTGGAGGTAGAGAGACTACATATAGCCGATTTAATTGACTCCAGCTAAAACACAAATGGAACAAAGCATGGTGAAGATTGTAGCAAAAGTGTGGGTCCTCAAACAAAAACAAAAAATCACCTATTCTTTTAAAGTGTTATAACTTTTTTATTTGGTCTCCAAATTTTTCAAAAACTATATCAAAATTCATGAATTTTTAGGAGCTTTCATATGACACCAATATTACATATATAAATTGAAAAAAGAATTTCAAGTTTTAACCGTTGCAGTTTTCTTGAGCACAAAAAAAAACGAAACACAAATTTTTAATTGATGAAGCGTGCATAAATAACTGAATATTACATCTTCCCATTTTATAGAAGCGGGAAAACGTTAAAAAAATGAATTCGATTTTAATGACAATACTCATAAAATTTTCACTCATGATTTAATTGAACGTTTAGAAGAGAATTTGATAATAATCGAACATTACTTAAACTAAGTTCATTTGTTGTTAACCGAAAAGACGTTAAAAAAATTAATGAAATTTATATTTTTTTACATCGAAATGTGTATTTTTTTATTTTATAATTATTTTGAGAAAAAAATTAAAACAAAATATTACTTATAATACTTTAATTAATGATCTACTAATTTGATATGTAAAAAATATGTCAAGTATATTTTATTGACGGTACTGAAATGCAAAGAAAATCATTATTGACGGAGTCTAAACACTGTTTTCATATCGACGGAGTCCATATTTTAGCTTTTTAGACTCTTACCACTCCAAATGGTCTTATAATAAGTTTCCAAACTTTACGTAGTACAACTATATAATCATAAATTATTCTTGATATACACAAAATTTGTACACAAATTGTACTCTCACCGTCCCTTAAAACTTTGTCAACTTTTCTTTTTTGGATGTCCCACTAACTTTGCCATTTTCTCCTTTGAATAAAAAATTTGTGGTTTCTAGTTAATTCTCTTTCCTCTGCACAAACCTCAATCACACAATTTTTACTTTATTAATCCCCGTATCGATCAAACTTGACAAAGTTTTAAGAGACGGAGAGAGTATATTATTTGTGTACACATTTGATTATAAAATTATTTGTAAACAAGTTGTCTGTATACACTGAGAACAAGTGGTAAACAAGTTGTATTCTAATTCTATGTACAACTAGTATTTGGGTATAATCATTGTTGTTGACCCTTGATCAAAACATATTGCCGCCACTCCGTACCACATGCTTGGAAAAAGACAGATTCCCTATTCATGAAGGGGAAATTCACAATAATACTCGGTATATGTTTACACCAATTACCGGGAGAACCAAACGTGTGAACTTTCAATCTAATCAAACATGTTTTTCCATTTAAGAATAATTATGGCCGCCATGAAACCACCAAACCGCTATCTATTCTGCTTCTTTCTAATTCCAAACCTTCTACTAACCTCCCAAGCTATTTCGATTGACACCATCACTCCCACACGTCCGCTCACAGAAAACCAAACTTTAGTCTCCGCCAGCGACCTCTTTGAACTAGGATTATTCACTCCCGGCAACTCCGGCAAACGGTATGTCGGGATATGGTACAAGAAAATAAAACAGAGAACAGTCGTTTGGGTCGCAAACAGAGACAAACCACTCACGAATTCCCCCGGTTTCTTGAAAATTGGTGAAGATGGTGGAATCCATTTGGTAGACAGCATAGGAGATTCTATCTGGTCATCATCGAATCAGACAAATCTCCCAGTTCCAAGGAACAACACAGCTGTTGCTCAGCTCCTAAATTCTGGGAACTTTGTTCTGCGCCAAGAAAACGATGAAAAAGCAGAGGATTATCTCTGGCAAAGCTTTGACCACCCGACAGACACACTCTTACCTGGAATGAAGCTAGGCTGGGATTCAAAAACCGGGCTCAATCGGTACATATCATCCTGGAGAAGCCCAACCGATCCATCGGAAGGGGATATAAGCTTCAAGTTGGACATCAATGGCTACCCAGAAGCATTCTTGAGGAATAAAGGCTCAATCTTTTACAGAAGTGGAGGCTGGAATGGGAACCGATTCAGCGGAGTCCCAGAAATGGAAACAGAAGGAGCTGAAGTAATCAGTTTCTCCTTTAAGAGGACTCAGGACGAAGTTTACTACTCATTCGAGATGAAAAATGAAACATTGTATTCGAGATTGATAGTGAACCAAACAACAGGGTATCTGGAGAGGCACACTTGGGTCCCGGAGAGTCTCATTTGGAACCAATTTTGGTACTTTCCGAATGATCAATGCGACCTTTACAGAGAATGCGGTTCCTTTGGGTTATGTGGGCTTCAGCAGTCACCGGTTTGCGGGTGTTTGGTCGGGTTTAAGCCCCGAAACCAGCAGGCTTGGGATTTGCGGGATGGGTCGGGCGGGTGCATTCGGGTGGACAAGTTGGAGTGCGAAGGGGATGGGTTTTTGGCATTGAACTATACGAAGTTACCGGAGAGTGGGGGTGCGTTTGTGGATGAGAAGATGAGTTTGGATGAGTGCAAGGGGGCGTGCCTTAAGAATTGCTCCTGCACGGCTTATACCAACGCCAATGTCAGCAATGGCGGGTCGGGTTGCGTAATTTGGACGACGGAGCTTCTCGACATGCGCAATTTTTCGGAAGTGGGTGATCAACTTCTTTACATTCGCGTGGCTGCTAAAGATGCAGGTTTGCTTTTTAATTTTTTATTAATAAATCGCTCTTTCTCGCCCTTTTTTTCGTGTGTTTAAGTGGATTTGTTTGGTATAGTATGAAACAAATCCACTTCGTATGAATCATACTATTTGGTATTTGTTTAGTTTTAATTCATTTTTATTTGGGAAAAAAGGGCAAATAAACCCTAATATATATTAGGTTATGTCCGGCCGTCCTTATTTAGGTCGGTTTTCAGTGGAATTTTTTAATGAATTTTTTTGAGTATATTCTTCATTAAGTCCAGTTTACTCATACCAAATTTCAGCTAAAAATAAAATCGGGAAGGTAGTCAAATGATTTTCTGAAATATACTCCGTTGTTTAACTACACAGTTATCTTCAAAAATTCATTTGACTGCCTTCCCGATTGAATTTTTATCTGAAATTTGGTATGAGTAAACTAGTCTTAATGAAGAAGATGCTAAAAAACTTTTATAAAAAAATTCCATCGGGAACCCCCCCAAATGACGACGGCCGGATAGAACCTCCTATATAAAGGGTGTTTGCGCTTTTTTGGTTAGTTTGAGGGCTTATTTGACCCTTTTCCCTTCTTATTTTATAAACAATTTATCAATTACTTGTCACCTAAATATGCCTATTAAAAGTAATACCACTCCCTTTTGTCTCAATCACACGAGAATGTGTTAGTATTACATTAAAGGGTGTGTAAGTATGAAAGTAAAGAGAACTTCTTCTTGTACACATTTTTATACCCATCTTATACCCACAATGTCTGTGAGGAGTTTTTTTGGTCTGTGAATCCGATTCACAGACAAAGTAATTTCCATAGACATATTTTGTCTCTGACCGGGATTCACAGACAAAAAAAACTCCTCACAAACATTATGGGTACAAAAGTGGGTATAAGAGTAGACACACAGTTTTTTTGGAAAGAAAAATAGCAAAAAAATTTGAAAATGTAAGGCTAAGTGAGTAGCGATGTAAGGCTATATGAGCATGCTGCATAGAGCACTTGCCAATTAATAGCATGTCATACTTCATCTTTTAGAATGTTTTTTCAAATCAAAATAATCACCTACTATTAATCAAATCATGAGTCAAAACAGAAACAGAACTATTCCCGTGAATGATCTCCGAGATAACATGTAGCACATCCGATTCCACTTCCAAGTGAATCCAAGATCACGCCTCTCTGATTCCAAGCAATTCCCCTTCCCTAGCTAAGCATTGACCAAGCCACGGTTTAACCACCCCTGCCACACAGTTCCCTGCCGAGTCATGTACAACCCAGCCCCAACCCGTGACCTGCACATTGTCGTGATGTGCACTCAAAGTAATATTACAATACAACAATTATACGTAGTATAATGAAGTAAGGTTTGTATCCATAGAGAAATGAATACTTTTCTTTTTATAGAACTAGTAACAAAAGGGGGGTTTTAGTTTGATTTGGTTTAATTAATTAAACACGAAGATGAACGACTTATGTGGTTTACTTAATAAAGATGAAGACTTGGCTTTGCTTTTTATCCACTTAATGAAATGTTCATTGATCTTGGTTATATCTTTAACTATCTTCCTCTCGAATACTCAATCGAGGAGTATATCCAGTTCATCAAAAGTAGTTATTAATAACGAGACGCGTTCATTAATAAAACTTACTACTGAGTTAATATAGAACACGCGCCATATATTAACCTGATAGTAGCAATAAAATCAAGATGAAAACGATTGAGATTGATAACCTCAACACAAGCGGTTTGTCGGTTTAACCAATATAATTAATTCCCCTTCGGTTATTAACCATGAAACGCATGCATTAACAACCCAAGTTTACTACCGTGAAAGGACCGAATTAATAACAAACGTATTAATCGATTGATTCTAGTAATAATTAATATATGAAACAAAACTAGTTGATCCTTTAATTAATGTTCAAAATATTAATATCAAATAGGAGTATGAATTAATTAATATTTAAGGAAGAAGATTAGAGAAAATAACTCACAACTTACAATTCATTAAGCTTCAAAGTAGCAAGACCAAGATGGAAGAGTTTAGCTCCTCATTTGGAGACTAAACATAATGAAAATATAAAGAAATAACTTATCTACACTGAGCTTAGAAGTGTATAGAAATTGGATTTTTTATTGTGAATGAAAGGAGTGTATTTATAGGCTTTTGGGAGCTGCAGGGTCTGATACCCGACCGGGTATATAAGATACCCGACCAGGTATCTTAGAAAATTGCCCAGATAGTCACTTTTTTGGGCATACCCGATCGGGTAAGGGTATATACCTGATCGGGTATGTGACAAATCTGAATCAAGTAAATACCCGATCGAGTATTGCCCATACCCGATCGGGTACATGAGTAATTTTTTCAAATCGAAATCTTTCTTGTCTCCTTGCACTTTCTTTGATCTTTTAAGGTCCAATCTCGATCCCTTGGATGATCTTTAATCTGTTTAGCTCAGAATAATCCTAATCTAAACAAATTACAAATAAAAAATGAAGATAAAATATTACAACAAAAGTGTGTAATTTCCACAACTAAAACTAATAAAAACTAGTTAAAATACAAATATACATCATAGGAAATTCACACAATCACTCCGCCTTGTTGAGGCATCAACATTTAACTTTATTTCCCATCCCCCGGTCGCTGCCGCATACTAGGTCCTACCCGCACTTGTTGCCCGAAAAATATCCAGCACCTTGCACCTTGCTTGATCGTTCCCTTGCCTGCTTCCAGCCCTTCAAAAAAGCATGAGCTTGCTCCCATACACGGTCGGATGACAAATATGTGTTGCTCCACACTCGATCGTTGCGAGCAAAACCTCTATCTCCCTTTGTTGAAAGAACACCTGCACCCAATCCAGAAAGGTTAAGACATCGGGTCCCATTTGATTCCATCCTAGCTTTTGCCAAAGCAAAACCTCCGAATCAGACTGGATTTTAGAATGTTTTTAATTGGAATCTAACTTTCTCGTCTAGTCTAATAGATGTGTCAGTTATATGCGGATTCTACAACTATCAAACCCTGATTTGATTTTGTCTGGTCTGATCTGATAAGAATGTATAACTCTGATCTTGTATGGTCTAATCAAAGACCGAAACGAGTCCAATTAAAAACATTCTTAGACACGCTCAAATTCATTCCACAATAACACCTGATCGGTCATATTTTATTGTTTTGGATGCGAAGAATAAATTTATCACTTTGATCATATATGATTTATTTATTTAGAAGTGAACTTAAGCTTCTCTAGGTTTAGATTTAGGATTACTCTGTTTTTTCATGACACCGGCCTAATTCTAAAAACAACATTTTTAGAATCTCCGTATAGTGAACGTTTTGAAGTTTAAGTTTTTTTTTTTTTAAGTAAGTTTAACATATAATCTAATTTAACCTTCATTCAAATACTTTTTTGTTGGTTAGAGTCAACCTAATTTTTAACCGAACAACAATTCTAAATATGCATATGTGTTCTCCTAAGTTAACCCATTACATTTTGGCTTCCAAAATGTTATGAAAGCTGTACTAATTACTTGTCAATGTTTCAACTGTAGAACAAAATGGGAATGCTCCAAAAGCCCGAGATAGGTTTGGCAAGAAAAAATTGATAACATTGGCATGTGGCATTATACTTGGTATTGGAGTTATTCTATTTGGCTTGTTTTTGTGGAAGAGAAGAAGATCACGGAGAGCTTTTGCAGCAAATATATACCTCGGAGGTTATAATACTAATCACATACGGAGTAATTCATAAGCAATTTAGTAACTTTTTTTTTTGGAAAAATGCATTTTAGTTTCTTAATAAATTGATAGATTGTAGAATCATAATTGGATCGATCATTGAAACACTGAATTAATTAAGTCTATTTACTAGTCTATGTCTAACCAAATCCTTTCTTACCCACATCTTACATCTTCTTCAAGCAGGCATGGGAAAAAGAACCGGAGATCTTCTAATGGTTGAAACAATTATGACAGACAAGTTTGAATTACCTTTGTTCGATTTTAGCACCATCTTTGAAGCAACAAGCAATTTTTCCGAAGAAAATAAGCTTGGCCAAGGTGGTTTTGGCTCTGTCTACAAGGTACTCCGTAATAAATAATTATTTGAAATTATTTACTCTTCCATATAAGTAATATCATTAGGATGTTTTAATTGTACTCATTTAGTTCTCTTAGACCAAATGAAACGAGAACAAAGACTTGAATGAAAGTCGGCAAGCTACGCCAAATTTAGATAATAGTTAAATACATGCATGCTAGACTAGAGCAAACTAGTTCAAAACCAATTATTTTAGTCCAATGAAATTCAGATCAAGTTAAAACATCCTTTATAAGTTGCTATGTTGACATATTTCTCCAAGAAGATCCTAGACTACACATCCAATGAAATTGACCTTATAGGATGGAACATCCGGTTTTAATATGTCGTAACAATTATGGTTGAATTATTGATAGGGAACACTCATTGGCGGTGAAGAAATTGCAGTGAAAAGGTTATCAGAGAAGTCTAGACAAGGAGTAGAAGAATTCAAAAATGAGCTCACATTGATTGCAAGACTCCAACACAGAAACCTTGTTCGGCTTCTTGGCTGTTGTGTTGATAACGAGGAGAAAATGTTGGTATATGAATACATGGAAAACAAAAGCTTGGATTCTCTTTTATTTGGTAAGTTCTATCATTTATATCGGGTGATAGAGTATTAATTCTAGAGAGAAGTGAGAGCTAGAGAGAGAAAGTGAGTAATTATATTTCTCAACTCCCTATAATGAGCCCCTTGGGGTCTATTTATAGGTAAAAATGTGGACATGGGCTCCTAGCCATGGGCTTAGGAGGCCCATTACAATAATTATGCCCTCTTTGGGCGAAATAGGGCCACTAATGGGCTGTGTACAATACTTAGTAAATAAAGTAGAGAGATGCATTCTGCCCCGCGCGAAGCCGGGCCGATGCGGTGCCTTTTGGCCGATGCGGTCTCATGGCCGATGCGGTCCAAGAGCCGATGCGGCCCCCGGAAGTCCATACGTGCTTCCTGGGCCGGTTTGGTTTCTGGCCGATGCGGACCCACTGGCCGAAAGGGGGCCACACGGGTGTTCTTCTGGTCATCGTTGACTTGAGTATGTGGGCCATGGGGTCCAGGCCCATATACTCTATCAGGAGTCCCCCACTCTCTGAGCTGAGGTGAAGCCGAGGCGAAAGGGAGTACTTGTTCCTTTCTGGCTGGCCGTTGCGTGAGCTCGAGGTGTTTGGTGGCCGAAGAGGTTCCGCTTTGATTTTAGATGAAGCGGTTTCCTTGTTCGATGTAGGCGGAGCGCGCTTGAGGATCCATTAACCTTGGTGTGGGCCGATGCGCTCTGTGAGAAGTGTTTTGAGGATGAGGCGATGCGCTTTCACTCTCCTGCGGATGTGAATTATGGAGAAGCTGGTCTGTTTTATCATTATTTGTTGGGGCCGAAGAGGTCCCACATACTTCTGGCCGATGGTGGTGACATAGTTGTATGAAGCGAAGATGTTTGATCTCGTTTTCGAGGACGATGCGGTCCGCATGCTTTTGATCTGTTATGTGGCCGAAGCGCTTTGACTTGTGTATCCCTGCTTTAGTGAGCCGGCGCAGTTCCTCAGTGTGTATAGCCGTCGCGTGCTGGTCTTGTGCCTTGGTCTTTTGAACTTCTGGGTTTCGTAGCCGATGCGATCTCTTGTGCTGTCGAGGTGCATTTGTTTCACACACCGACTATCGGTGAACCGTAGCGTACCTCTTTGTTTTTTTCAGGCCGTTGCGTTTCCATTTATGTTGTTTCCCTTTTGTAGCCGATACAGTCCCCCAGTCCCCCACTCCTTTTGCCGAAGAGTATCTTAGGCACAAGGGAGTCATGATGTTCTCGAGCCGATACGGTACCCATGCGTTAGTCGTGAGTCCAACCCTTAGGCGAACCTGTCCGAGGTAACCCTGTGGGAGAACCCTTGGACGAAGGCCGCAATACCAGGGTTATCATCAAACGATGTGCGTGTGAGTAGCCGTAGCGGTACTTGTGTTTCTTGGGGTCGATTTTGGGCCGTAGCGTGTTTGCTGATGCGGCCATTTCCTTGGTAAATTGGGCCGTGGCGAGTTTCTTATTGCTTTGAGTGAGTAGGCCGGTGCCTACCCTAGTCTCGGGGCCTGTTGGGCCGTAGCGGTTGCCCTAGAGTGGAATGTGAAAAGACGGGCGTTGATTGGTTCTAGAAGAGGTGCCGCCTGGGTGGCCAATTGGGGGTTGCCACGTGTAGTGACCGTTGGAGGGGGTGCCTATAAATACCCCCCACTCCGAAGCCATTCCCTCATTTGCCTTTTGCTGTTTGTTGAATTGCTGCCCAATTTTCTAGAGAGAGAAGCGCTTCCGAAGTTCCTTCAAGTCTTCATCAGTTTTTTCCCAGACCTTCATATCTTCAAAGGTCAGTTCTTTCTTGTTCTTTGCTTTTCTTTCATACTTTGCCTCCTAGGGGGTTAGATCTAGTGTTTGTAGGAAAATTCACTTTGATCCGAGAACCGCCCTTAGGATTAGGTTTTAGATGTTATGCCGTTCCCTGATGGCCGTAGCGCTCCCTCCCCCCTTGACTTAACAGCTTCGTTGGACGAAGAAGACTGGCCTTTTGACGAGGGCGAAACGTCCCCTGGAGTTGATCTTCGACTGATCGAGGCTTTTGAGATTGAAATGGAAAATACCGCCGATTATCGTACTTCCGTAGACGAGGAGAGGATGAGTGCCGATGCGGGAGCGCATCATTCTGGTGGAGACGAGGCGTCCTCCAGTTCGCCTCTGAGGGGGGATGAGGCATCCTCTTCTGCCAACATTCCGTGCCCTCCACCGATATCGTCCGTAGCGGGGGAAGGCCCCTCAGCTCCTAAGACGAAAAGGCCGTATCGGCGGAAGCAGCGTAAGGGAGTACCGCAGGGGCACTCGCAGCTTGACCTTAGTAATCTATATATCATTCGGCCGGAAGGGACCCTCGGCGAGTACCACGTTGCTCAGCTGTATGTGGGGCCGTATGGACGGGTGCGTGCGCCGAAGCCGACGGATCATGTGTTGAGTCCCCCTTTGGGTTATTTCGGGATATACCCAATGAGTTTTGCCAAGGGTTTGCGGTTCCCTCTCCATCCCTTCATCAAAGAGTACCTCGATATGGTGGGTCTACCTCCAGCCTTGTTGACGCCCAATAGCTACTCGCTTATCGTCGGCTTCCTTATCCGTTGCGGTGAGTTGGGCTTCTCGCCGACGATTGCGCTTTTCACCAATCTGTACCGGATAGGCCGAGGGAGCCATCAGAATTGCGCCGGTTATGCCGCCTTACAGCAGGTTCCCAAGAGGAGGACGTTTACGGATCTTCCTTCGTCAATCCACGGTTGGAAGGCAAAGTTTGTCTTTGTTAACCTTGGCCGGGGCGGTTACTTCCCGTCTGTGGGTCATAGCGGCCTGTTCGAGTTGCATAATCCTCCGTGGAATGCCGAGATTAGTAGGCAGGTGGAGGCTTTCATCAAGGGCGGTCCGAGGAGCGTAACCACTTATATTACCGAGTATAGGATGGCAGCCCTCGGCTTTGTGAGATATTACTGCCCTGGTGATGTAGACGATGATCTTTGGCCGAAGATGGAGGGGACTTATGAGCAAGCCGACGGTCCCTCGCTCGGTGTTCCTGCCGAAGCCGAAGGTTGTCCTTCGTCCACTCACCCTTCTCGTAGTGTGTTCAGCTATTTTTTACTGATGTTCCTTTGTCTTTTGCAGGTTTTGCCATGGATCGCATGTCTTTTATGGCCAGGGCTGCCAGGAAGGCCGATGCGGAGTTGAAAGCCGCTCAAGCTGCCGAGGCAGCAAAGAAGTCTGTGGGCGGTCCTCAAGGGGGTGCCGAGGCCGATAAGAAGCCTGTGGCCAAGAAGAGCAGGAGGGCTGCTGATGAGGGCCAAAAGACTCTGGCCGAAGCGGGGCTAAAGCTGAGCCAGGCTTCGAAGAAGACGAAGAGGGCTCCACCGAATGAAGAGGCCGGCGCCCACTCTTCTCAGGCTGTTGCGGATGTTCAGCCGTCGGTGGTTCCTCCTGTGAATGATCCACCCTCCTCAGCTTTGGTGGCCTCGGCTTCTCGGGTGCCTCCCTCTACTGCCGCTGCTGCCCGTTTGGAGGAGGCCCTCGCCAAGGGGACGTATGAGGTGACGGTGCGTTACCCGGTGAAGGGCGGGCTCTTTAACGAGACTGTCAGTGGCGACGACGTGCTCGCTCAGGCTATGCCTGAGTATGACCGGCAGTACCTCAGCCGGCAGGGCAAGCACGTCCACCTGTACGATGGGGGTTTGGACTATGTCGTCCAGGTAGGATTCTTTCCCATTGTGATTTTTACTTTATCATTTTTATCTCTGACCTTACTTTGCTTCGTCCAGGGCGCCCTTATGCTGAGGGAGCAGCATTGGAGGCAGGAGGCCGAGATAGAGCGGCTCAAGAAAGTGGAGGCTAAGGCTGCTTCTGCCGATGAGGCCCTCCAGGATCTCAAGGACAAGGCCAAGGCTGCCGAGGAAGAGATGAGGCTTCTCCAGCTCCGGCTTGATGAGGCCGAAGCAGCCCGGAAGAAGGCCGATGAGTCCATTGCTGCTGCCATCCAGAGAGCTGAGGAGGCTGAACGGCTCAAGGCTGACGCCGAGAAGGCCGCCGAGAAGGCCGTGGCTGATTTCAAGGCCGAGGGGTGGAAAGCCGATGACCAGCTCCCCTTCTGCTATGAGGTGGTTGCTGAGAGGTTGAATGATTGGACGACGAAGGACCCCGCCGGCCAAGAATTCTGGATGAACGAGATGCAAGCTTTCTACGACTGTGGTCAGTACAGAATGCAGAAGCTGATCTACAGGAAGCTTCGTCGTCGCTTCCGGAAGATGAGGCCGAGGGGTCTGAGTCTCCCTCGGCGAATGAAGAATCCCGATGAGGATTTGAAGCTTCCCCTACCGGAGAGGCAGCCTCCGATCTTGAGTTCATCCGAAGGGGAAGAGCCGTGGAGTGACAGTGACGACTACTTGCTCGAGGGGCCTGCCGATTCCCAGGCTGATGAGGATGGTGGTGGCGATGATGCTGGTGGCGGCAGCGGAGAGGACGTCGGCCAGAGCAAAGAGCAAGCCGATGAGGCAGCGTAGCTTGTACTTGGCTTTTTTATTACTTTTATAGCTTTAGCACCAAAGTGCATGTAATGGCCGAAGCGCCCACCCGTTGTATTTTTGCATCCATTAATGACAACTCCTTTCCTCATCATGACCATCCCTTCGTCTATGTAGTTAAGTATGCTTGTACTTGTGAATTTTTCAGTGTCAAGGTAGTGTTTTGAAGGGTGTTGACGTCCATGTATTAGGACGTAGCGGTCCTCTTTTCAATTGCTGTACTTAGTGACGGTGCGCCTCGTCGTCCCTTGGTGAGTTCCTTTTTTATCTTCCTCTTGAGTCAAGTCTTTGGAGCTTAATCTTGAAGTGTTTCGAGGACGAAGCGATGCGCAGTGGTAGCACATCGTCTTTGTAGTAATGTGACTTAGAAGATTTTTAAATGTCAGCTTGCCTTGATGTAGGTGTTGCGCTCCCGTCGTCCAAACACTTGAATGTAGTTTCGTATAATCGGAACCGGAGTGATTCTCTTATGAATCGGGAGTTGAGGCCGAAGCGTGTACCTCGGATTCCTGGTTGGTAGAAACCTGATATGTACTTAGCTGATTTTGAGGCTTGGTTTTTGTGGGGATTTTATTTCTTGCTCGAGGCCGGCGAGTTCGCGGTCCGTCGGCTTCCCTCTTTTTCTTTTTTTTTTTTTTTTTTTTTTTTTTTTTTTTTTTTTGTAGCCGAAGGGTTAATGTCCCTTCGTCCATGTGCGGTAGTTTGTCCGCTACGCTTTTCGCGTGGATTAGTGCGAGGGAGTAAATACGCCCTCGGCTTGGTGTCAGTGGCATCTTTTTTGCCTTTCCACGTCTATCGTCGACGAGGGACCGGACTAGGCATCGTCTCATGACGGCCGCCCTTTGTGGTCCTGAGCGAAATTTTACTGACGGGTGGAGTTTTTGTAACCTCAGCCTTAATTCAGACCTGTCGTCCTGCGGTTTCCGCGCGGACGACGCGGTATGCTTCTCCGTTTGAAGACGTCGGACCATGCACACAGGTCTTTCGTCCTACATATCGCCGGCCGATTTGGGTGTTTCACCGCTTGTGCCGATACGATATTTGGGTGCGTTGTCTATGCAACGGCTTTGTAGGCGCGTTGTGGATCGCAACGGCCTTAGGTGCGTTGTTTATTGCAACGGCTTTAGGTGCGTCGTTTATTGCGACGGCTTTAGGTGCGTTGTTTATTGCAACGGCTTTAGGTGCGTCGTTTATTGCGACGGCTTTAGGTGCGTCGTTTATTGCGACGGCTTGAGGTGCGTTGTTTATTGCAACGGCTTTAGGTCGCATCGGACCCGGGTGATTGCACCGCTTAGGCCGATGCGGTCCTTGGGTTTCTTTTGCTCAAATCTTTAAAAGATTGGATGAAACATGAATTTTATTCAATAAGTGGCGCTAGGCCGAGGGTGTTTTATTCAACCAATAAGCCGAGGGGTGGGGGACGTTGCCCGCTTCACCACTTCTCGAGTTATTGGTAAAATTTCACCAGATGGTGTATATTCCACAATCGTGGTACATCTGACCCATTAGGGTTCTTTAGTCTATAAGTGCCGGCTTTGATGACGGCGCTGATGATGTAGGGCCCTTCATATTTGACGGCGAGCTTTCCTCCTTCCGTCGGTTTGCTTGCTTCCCTTCGGCGGAGGACGTAGTCCCCCACCTGGAATTCGCGAGAGCGGACCTTGGCGTCGTAGTAGGATTTTACTTGTCGTCTGTAGTTCTCCGCTCTGAGGTAAGCCATCTCCCGCCTTTCATCAATGAGGTGCAAGTCAATCTTCATGGCTTCTTCATTGGCTTCGGGGTCGTATTGTGTGACCCGTCGGCTGGGGAGCGTCACCTCAGTGGGAGCCTTGGCTTCGAAGCCGTAGCACAAGGAGAATGGTGTCTCCCCGGTGGCCCTCCTCGGCGTAGTGCGGTAGGACCATAGGACGTTGGGGAGCTCGTCGACCCAACTTCCGCCTTCTTCTTCGAGCTTCTTCTTTAGTCCCTCCAAGATGGTTCTGTTGGCGTTCTCAACCTGCCCGTTGGCCTGAGGGTAGGCAACGGAGGAGAAGCGGTGCTTGATACCCCATTCTTGGAGGAGGCTTTGGAACGGTTCGGCCTCAAACTGGGTGCCGTTGTCTGATATGATTTCCTGAGGCACGCCGAAGCGGGTGAGGATGTTCTTGTAGACGAACTTCCGACACCGCGCTCCGGTGATGCTAGCGAGTGGTTCGGCCTCGACCCATTTGGTGAAGTAGTCGATGGCGACGATGATGTATCTGTTGTTACCCGCAGCTCTTGGTAGAGGGCCGACGAGGTCGATGCCCCATCTGGAGAATGGGATGGCAGTGCTTACCGGGGCGTAGTTGACGGCTGGTCGGCCGGGTGCCCTTTGATAGTGTTGACATGCGCTGCATTTGCGGGCGACCTCAGCACAATCGCGCGCCATCGTCGGCCAGAAGTAGCCTTGGACGACGAGGCGGCGCGACATGCTGAAGGGCCCTTGATGTGATGAGCATACGCCGCAGTGGACTTCTTCCATGGCCGCTTCGGCCTCATTCTGGTGTAAGCACCGGAGGAGGGTGCCGTTGTATGATCTCTTGTAGAGCTTGTCACCCTCGATGACATAGCTTGGGGCCCTGAGCTTGGCTAGTTTGGCCCTCTCCTCGTCTTCTGGTAGCGTGCCGGAGGTGATGTATGTTGCAATGTCAGTGATCCAGTCCTCCGGCTGATGTTGTATGGAGAGTATGGGACTGGCGTGAATGCTTGACATGCTCAACTCTTCCACCTTAGCTATCTTGGAGATGTGCTCAGGGGTGTCGGAGCTGAGTTTAGAGAGGATGTCGGCCTCGGCGTTCTCCGCCCTTGGGATCTGGGTGATCTCGTAGGTATCGAACGCCTTGAGCAATTCCGCAGCGGCCTCCTTGTATTGCTTCATCCTCCCTTCTTTGGCCTCGTAGGAACCCTCCATCTGGCTCACTACGAGTTTGGAGTCGCATTTGATTCTGACGTGGCGTGCTTTAAGGTCAGCGGCTAGTCTGAGTCCGCTGAGGAGCGCTTCATACTCGGCCTCATTGTTGGATACTTTGAAGTTGAAGCGGATGGCGTAGTACGCTCTGAAACCTTCCGGGGAGATGAGGACGACGCCACCCCCACAAGCTTTGGTGGCCGAGGACCCGTCCGTGTAGAGGGTCCAGGCTTCGTCCGATTCAGCTCCTGTGGTGGTAACGACCGTCTCCCTTGCCGTGCACTCCGTGACGAAATCAGCTAAGGCTTGCCCTTTGATGGATGGCCTCGGCTTGATCTCAATCTGGTACTGGCTCAGGAATATCGCCCATTTGATCATCCTTGGAGAGCTGGTTGGGCTCCTCATGAGGGCGCCCAACGGCTGATGTGTGAGGACGTGGACGGGGTGAGCCTGGAAATAGTGCCCCAGCTTCTTCACTGTGTGGACGATGGCCAACACCGTCTTCTCAATAGGGGAGTACCTGAGCTCGGCCTCCCGCAACGTCTTGCTGACGTAGAATATTGCCTTTTGCACCCCGTCGTCCTCCCTGATGAGAACAGAGCTAATGGCCGACGTGCTCACCCCCAAGTAGAGGAAGAGAGTCTCGCCGGGTTGGGGCTTGGATAGGACGGGTGGGGAGGCGAGATATTGTTTCAGCTCTTCAAAGGCCTGTTGGCACTCCGCCGTCCATTTGAAGCTGGTGGCCTTCCTCATTATTTGGAAGAAGGGGAGCGACTTCTCCGCGGATTTTGAGAGAAAACGGTTCAGGGCCGCGAGGCGTCCCGTCAGCCGTTGCACTTCTTTGATGTTGCGGGGCGGCTCCATATTGATGATGGCTTGTATCTTTTCTGGGTTTACCTCGATGCCCCTTCGGCTGACCAGGTACCCCAGGAATTTACCTCCCTGGACGCCGAAGGTGCACTTCTTCGGGTTGAGCCGGAGGTTGTACCTCTTCATGATTTCAAAGATGCCCCGGAGGTCGTCGGCATGGGTTGTGGATTGTTTGCTCTTGACGATCATATCGTCGACGTATGCTTCCATCGTCCGACCTAAGACTGCTCTAAAAATCCGGGCTACCATCCTTGTGTAGGTGGCGCCGGAGTTCTTGAGCCCAAAGGCCATGACGAGGTAGCAAAAAATTCCCTCCGGGGTCATGAAAGCAGTCTTCTCCGCGTCATCTTCATGCATGGATATCTGGTGGTACCCTCTGAACGCGTCGAGGAACGACATCAACTCGCACCCCGCCGTCTCATCCACCAACTGATCAATGTTGGGGAGAGGGAATGGGTCCATTGGGCACGCCTTGTTCAAGTCAGTGTAGTCAACACACATTCTGAACGTAGGCGGCTTTGGGGCGAGGACGACGTTCGCCAACCACGTGGGGTACTTCACCTCTTTGATGTGCTTGATGTTGAGCAGCATGGCCACCTCGGTCTTGACGAATTCTCTCCTGTCGGCTGAGAGGTAGCGCTTCTTCTGTTTGATGGGGGAGGAGGCCGGGTCGACTGAGAGTCGGTGTGTAATCACTTTTGGGCTGATGCCCGGCATGTCCTCTGGTCCCCATGCGAAGACGATGGCGTACGCTCTCAGGACGGAGAGGATGTTCCTTCGGATCTGTTGGGGGAGCTGTGTCCCAATCTTCAGCGTCCGTTCCGGCCGGGAGACGTCCAACGGAACATCTTCCACGTCTCCGACCGGTTCGGCCTTTGGCGTGTCTTCTTGGGCCGAGGCGGTGGTGATAGTGTCGATCCGCTCCTCGGCCTCATTGATCTTCCTTGTGAGCTTCAGGTAGCAAGCCCTGGCTATCTTCTGATTCCCTCTGGCGTAGCCGACGCCGTCCTTGGTGGGGAACTTGAGGCATAGATGTCTCATGGAGATGATGGCCTCAAGGTCCTCCAAGGCCGGTCGTCCCCAGATCATGTTGTGGGCGCTGTCCAGGTTGACAACCACGAACTCCATGTCAATTTTCGCCTGACAGGTACCGTCACCGACCACAACGGGGAGCACTATCGTGCCCTCGGCGTCGATAGAGTCCCCAGTGAAGCCGGATAACGGAGTCCGTATCGGCCGGAGCTCGGTCTTCTTCAGCTTCAGCTGTCTGAACGTATCAACGTACATCACA